AACAACATGACGGGGTCCCTGTTTTTGTCTCTACCTAATGTACAGACAAAAAGCAAATATATGGCTTGACGGGTCTGCAGTTTTTGTTTGTACCTTATTGTTGTTGTTGTTGTTGCTGTGGCCGTTGTTGCTGTTGTTGTTGTTGTTGTTGTCGTTGTTGTTGTTGTTGTCGTTGCTGTTGTCGTTGTTGTTGTTGTTGTTGCTGCTGCTGCTGTTGCTGGTGTTGCCACTGCTGTCGGTACTATTGTTGCTGCTATTGCTGTTACTGGCTTGTTGTTACTGGTGATGTTGTTGCTGCAACTGCTGCTGCTGCTGCCACTGCTGTAGCTGCTGCTGCTGCTGTTATTGTTGTTTTTCGTCGTTGTCTTCCCAAACGAACTGTCATTTTAGTCTCGAGCCTGCAGCTTGCAACTACCCTATTTCTCTGACCCTAGGGATTGGAGTCGTGGCCACGAAGTTGAACGAGGGAATGGAGTTCCTCCTCTGGCTACACTTGGGCGGTGACAGACCTGAGGTGGCCAAATCAGCTGTTCTGTTGGAACGATTCGGCGGTGTAATCTTGGATAACACATCCGTCATAAACTCTTGGTGTACACCTTCGAGCACTCGTTCACAGTCACTCACGCATGCAAAAATATGTACAGATGCACCCGCACACACACACACACACAAATCCAAGCACCTTCTTGTACAGCCCGGTGAAGTTTGTTTTCTCACTTTGGACGCTGCACAATCTCAACTGTCTGCAAAGAGTCCGGGGGAGAAAGAAGAAAACTGCATAACACTTTGGATAATGGCTGTGTTCGTTCCGGGGCCCGTAGGCCAGGAACAGATTTGCATTCGAAGTGCCACTCGCTGTAGGTCACGCAGGGAAGGTACAGAAGGCCTTAGATCCACAAGTCGATCAAATCTTCATCAAGAAAGTCTCATCGTCGCAGCTTCAACATGATCGAAGCATGAACTGCGGGCGGAAAGGACCCAAGCCAGGGCAATCATCCAGATTTGTGCTGGCGGAATGCTTCATGCAGTTTGCAATACCTACATACTTCCAGCTTGTCAGCATCTCTTCGCGCAATCTCCGGAGCTTGCTCTTCTGCTTGACACATGGAACTCCGAAAACCCAAATCCGACCAGTTCTCCAAGAAGCCCAAACCTAAAGTTTCCCCAAGGCACAACAGAGTGTCGGAAGGATCCAGGGCAGTCTTGTGATGTCCAGGCGATGCAGCCAGGATGTCTGCGCAGACTCCTCGTGAAAGATTACGAACAATCACGACCAGCATGGACATCAAAGCACGACGGTACTGGAAGACGCACGTACTTTTGTCAACTCGAATGGATATCTGTCAAGGATCTTACACTAACCACCCGACCCCTGCGAAGCAGCTTTGCGTGCTAAAGCTGACGGCCAAACTTGAATTCTGGCACCGTCCTCGTGGGCTCCATTGCTCAGCCATTCCTGCGACAGTTTGCACGTAGCTTGGTTCAGGGTTACTCTTAGTTGCTGAGTTCATAAGCCCCCAGAAGTGTAAACTTTCAGTTCAAAAGGGGGTATTCATATCCCAAGAAGTGTAAAGTGTACTCACTCAGCTACTAAGTACTCAGGGTTCCTACAAGCATTTCCATGGTGCTGGGGATTGGTGTAGAGGAATTGAGGGTTCAAAGCCCAGGATGGTTGGAGTCGCTTCTTGCTTACGACAGGTCTACCCCTGGTGGAATCCGACTGCCTGAGTGTTGCAACCTGTAATTAATTAACCTGACTGTGAGGCACCAAAGTCTTGTCCACAAAAGCAGCTGTTGCTGTCCTTGGGTTGGGCACCATCTGCAGGCGCATCCATATGTTGGTCACTCGGGCTCGAACTGTGCCATTCACAATTCGCATGAAACCAAACCTGAAACACAGTACACCTTCACTGACCGAAGTTGTTGGTAACGGAGCATTTCACATGTGAGTCAAACTGTTAAGCACTTGTCGTTCACGTCTGAGGTCAAATGCAGTGCTGGCTGGAGTGCTGTCATCTCTGAGTTATTCCGGAGTTACCATTGCGATTCAGACGAAGCTTTGGCTGTAGCTCTCGGCTTAAACGGCTGCTGCATGTCGCGTCAGTCCTACATACACTGCAAGTAGAACATCACAAAGGCGACCCTTTCTTGTTTTCTTGTACTGCGTCAATGGTTATTAGGACCCTTGACGTTCCGCCGCAACGAGCTTAGAGCTTAAGGTTGTGAAAATAAAGGACCGGGCAGCGCCGAAGTTACTTGAAACTTAGGTTGCAAGCTCCGATGGGCTTCCCTGGAGTCGTAGCTTCGAGGCACCGGGTTCGGCTCAGGGCGTTGGTTTGTTATGGCTTGTTTCTGTCTTTCGCGGTTTCAGGCTTCAGGTTTAAAAAGGTCTATTGGAGTTTCAGGGTGTGTTGATGTTGGCTTTGAGTCTTGGCTTCAGGCTTTATGTTTCACGTGTGGTGGGACATTCAGAGTTGACTTTATATTCCCAGCCGATGACATGAGTTTCTGAAGCCTCCTGGCGAAATGCCTCGGGCGAATGCTGGCGGTCACGACTCAATGTTCATAGGGTGGTTCGGTGATAAATACTCCAAGTCAGGATGATAGCTACCCACGTTTAAGCCTTCTTAGCCCTAAACCCCAAACCCCAAACCTTAAACCCTACATCGAAAGAAAAGGTAGTTGCTGGTATCCGCCGGTCTAGAAGCAATTACTTCGCCACTTCGCCGGTCTAAGAGCCAAGCCTAAAAGATCGCTCTATGTTCTCCCGACTCTCCGAGCAAATCCCGAGGTCGTCTACCTGCCCCGTTCCCGGCGCTTCTACAACGCTGGCGAGCCGATTTTGAAAACTTGCTGCGAGCATGCGAGCATTAACAGGCGAAGAGGCGCCTTAGCGCCTGGTGCCAGCTGCTGTGACAGATCTCGCCTGCGGCTCAGAGCTAGAGGCATCAGGGTTTCTTCGCGGAAGCAAAGTCCCACTGCGCTTTGTGATCTGCTCAAGGATTGGACTTATGCTGTATTCTTGCGATTCTGCAGGTGCTGCCGCTCCGTTCCCCTTGCATGCACGGAGAACAATGTTCCCAGGTTTGGAAGCCTCGCCGCTGGCCGCCGTCACCGGCACCTGTAGTACCGAGACAGGCGGGTCGTGAAGGTTGCTTTGGTCACGAGGTGAAGGGATTCCTTGATCCTGTGCGCATAGACGCATCGTACAGGTCCTCGCAGTTGGCAAAACATCGTAGCAAAAGCTGAGCATTGACCCCTTCTGAAAGTGCTGAGCTCCCGCGGCATGTTCAACATACCCCTGTCCGACTCGGCATAGACTAGTGAGTTGAAAAGCTTGCGGGTAACACATCCCGACTATGAAATGGACTCTCGGAAGCCTGTAATCCGAGCAATTTTCTCCGTGTCAAGAGGAAACCTCTCGGTTTCCTTTTGCAAGATACCTTGCCGTACCGAGGTAGAGTGCAGCGAGGCTTCAAAGCATTGGGGGCCGGGCCCCACAAAGCTGGCTGAAGGCAGCAGCTGCAAGGCGACACGTGGTACCCTGGCACTGCAGACTTCCACAAGCAAGGACAAAAAAGTGCGCAGCCGGGGGCTCTGTCCGACCTTTGGCATGGGATGTTGAAAAGACTGCGTTAGCTCGTCCCTGGGCGCTCTCCAGGAGTTAGTATCCAGTGCGCTTGCATGCGCGCCCAGAGCGGGACTGAAAGACTCTCGGTTTTTGCGTGTTTGGGGACCAAGGCAACTGCCGGAACTGTCAGGACTTTTCTGGAGCCCGGCTAACATGTCCACACCCAAGCTGGCAAGGGTGACAGAACGCTTCTGCAGGAAGAAGAGCTCTGAGCAATGATGCTGAAGTTGTTGCAAATTCACAGAGTGCCCCACACTTACGTGCAGAGGCTCTGCGCAGGAGACCCTCGATCTGATCTCGAAACACAGCAGTGTTTTATAAGAACCAGTCAGCACGACATCCTCAAACAGCGCGCACAGGAACCGATCCTGCCATTGCACAGGCAGCGAGAGAGCACTTCAGCCGAGGCACCCTCGCTTCCAGGGGTCGTGAGCTCTGGGAAAGCACGGATGGTAAGTGTAGATGGGAGCCGTATGCAGTAAGATACAGTAGTATAGCAAAACTATTAGAGCAGAGTATATCACAGTATATCATGGTTTAGTATATCGTATGACGCAGGACAGGACCACGACAGTCAGTGCTCAGTATCTCTCAAGTCCTTGCATTATGCAGAAGTGTACCTCGAATCATCAGAAGCTCATTGAAGAAACTCCAGAACTCCAGGGCTAGGACGGGGTAACTTGGGCTGAGGCAAAACTGAATGAGCCTTTTAGCCGCCGAGTTCGCTATGTGTTTTAATATGCAGTGCGATGTAGCCAAGCATGTCTGAACCGGCACTAGATATCTCACACCTAGTAGGCCTGACCTGTCGAACCAGGTGCTTGCCTCGCTGCCGTACTTCTGGAAGTGGAAGCGGAAGGACAACCTTGGGAAGACAATTCCCTAGAGCATCCTCGGCCAAAACGGGGTCAATACTACGAAGAGAGCCCACTGCATGCTTCCATGAACATCTGCGATCGAGAAGTCTGCAAACGAGCCCATGCAGAAGTCAAGTCAAGACAGCGACGGCGAGGATGACAATTACAATGGCGAGATGGGGGCACTTTTAACTGCAATGGAGAGGCAAACTCATGGCACTGGTGTCGGATAGGTACACCCCGATGCCATGATGGAACGTCATGGGCTGAATACATTACAGCTTGAAGGATTAATGGCTTGTGACTATCGTGCTCCACGAGCTGTGAGTCGACGTTCATCCCGAACACCCAGGGTCCACGTCCGACCTTCACCAAACACAGTGTGCGAACAGGTCCCGAAATCCAGAAATCTAGACTGACCTCTCAACCGCAGTAACCTATGCATTTCACAGCCCAAGACAGAAAGAAACAAATCCACGTCCTTGATTTAACGACCCTGAACTCAACGACTGCCACCAAGCTGGCGACGTCCTGTCCGGTGGAGGGGGCTTGGGCAGGATGTTGGAGGCGATGCCCTCGGTCAACCCGAACTACATGGCAATTTCGAAACATGAGGGTAGCCGCGAAGGTTCAGGGGACGTTCGTTTGTCTTCCTGGAGTGTGGAGCATATCTCCGGTGTCTTCTTCTACACGGCGTCAGGAAGAGAAGCAAGCGCAGATGCTGTCCCCCGCACCCGCCCCTCCCCTTCGCACGACCCTCATGGCCCAATCCGCTCGACGACATTTCGGTTTGAGGCCTCCCGTTTCATGTCATACAGTCGTGCCACACACCTCCCCACCTACATATCTATATATCTCACTTCCTCCATTTTTCATGGTCTGTCCGGGTCTTCGAGTCATTCGCTTGCTTCCCGAAATAGCTTCGCGCCTTTCGGCTGTGTGCACAGCACAGGTCACTGGTCTCAGAAGTGCCCATCACCTCTAGTGTGTCCAATACCCTTAAGTTTCAACCCTTGGGTTTTCCAAATCCTTTGGCCACGCTGGTGCTGCAAAAAGGCGGCTATGCGGGCTTGATGAACTGCCAGGTTGAATGCACGACATCCAACACCGCACGCCGAACATTCTCACCTCGGGCCCGAGCAAACGAGATACATCGCAGCTGATCAACGTCCCAAGAATCCTCGCAGCTGCCTTGCCAAAGTGCGCTGGCACATTGGCGAGCGGTATGGTTCAAGGGTGCGGGGACTGAGCCTCTCAAACGTTCGATAGCATAGGGCGGCAGGAAAGAGATCCTGCCATCATCAGATAGGCTGTCGAAAGGACAAATGGAAAGCTGACGGTTGAGGCTTCGCAGTAACCCAACTGCCTCTAATCCTGCGATGCAGGTTAAGCCATGATTTTCCTATATATGTGGTACCATGTAAATTCATGTTTGGTTGAATTGCTATCGGCCCGGGGGCCCAGGAGCGATTGTGGATAACCTGAAACGGGACACAATTCTGTAACATCGTAGTGACTGTAATGTCTTCCATGTCCTACAAAGAGACACACACACAGCGAGTCCGAAGGGCAGCAGCAGTATGGATCATCCTCTCGAGCGGTTGGAAAACAAAACAGGAGTCCGGCTACTCGACCGAATGCTGTTTCACAGACGAAAGACGTTTAAGTACCAAAATCTGGCATAGAAGTCCGTTGTGCTCACAGCCATAACTGCAAGCTCCGGGTACTCCAAAACTATCCAAAACCTGAACCCCAGAATGCAGAACCAGAATCTAGCCAATTCCGAAGACGCCTAGTCGGTCCGCTCGCCCTACTGTAGAGTTTGGGCTTCAGAGTTTGAGGCTTTGGCATCCCATCTTGGCAGGAGGTGAGAGCCTCTACCTACTCTTCCTCACATTATTGCTGAGCCAGGTTCAAGACTCTTAGACATGTCTCCCAATTCTTGGGAGAATCATGGAACCTTCACCAAGCACCTTGACATAGGACATAGGCTGCCTCTTGAAAAGATATGCAGCTCCATCGTCCTTCAAAGCCCGAAAGGGCGTCCTCCCCCCTCATGGGCGCCCCGGCCATCACTGCGCAGGATGGCCATGCGCCGCCCTCCGGGGTTCAGGCCGAGCCTCCATGCGCTTTAAGTGGGCTTTCGATGGCTTCCAATCAGGCAAAAAACTCAGAAGCGATTGTAGACACCTATAGACAGACATCCGTATAGACCTCTGGAGTGGAGGGTTTGAGGTGAGGCTAGACCCGATGCCACACCTGTGACCAACATCTGAAACCCCAAGCTGTGAGCAAGAAAACTGTGAGGCAAGCCATAACGGCAGGAATTCTCTACACAGCTGCAGCT